TTTTAAATGTGTCATTTCACATAAATGCTCAGAGAACACATGATATGCTTGGATACTTACTATTTTTCAACAGAATGGTGTAAAATTACTACTAATAAAATTGCTTTAAAAGTTAGAAATCAGAATCAACTTGAAATCTTCAGCATTAACAATTCACAAGTAATCTTTACTTAAATACATTGTATCTTAATTCACTGGACTTTTTTTTCCTGTTAAGACATTATTGTGCTTACTTCAGTAATTGTGTTACTCTAAATTGTACAATACCAAGAATGGTTCTCTTGACCAACTCAACATCTAGCAAGAGTTGGCACACAGTTTCAATAAATAACATGTTCATAAATTGTTGGCACCAAAACATTTCAAGAATCAACACTAATGTGGGCCAAAACATTAATAAGCTATAGAAATCTCCAAAGAATCAATGCACCAAAACACAGTTATGCTTGTTTTGAAAATCTGACAATTAGCACCCCAAGAAAGTATCTGAAATCTACTATATGAGAGATACAGTTAGAAATTAAATCAGTTACTTTTTATTTCTTGCCTAAATTCCTAGGAAAAGAATGCTGGTGAAGAGCTAATTTCCACAATGATCAAATGCTGAGGTGGTAAGTAGTTTTTCTGTTTTTGCTGGAAGCAAATATAAAACATACAACCTGAGCAAATATGGACAGATAACAGGTGTAGAAAAAAGGAAACTACTAATTTTAAAACAATAGTTAAAATAACTCATATAGTATATTCTATTACTTGTACTATTTATCAGAGATAAAGAAGTAATGATAAAAATAATTATTAAAATTGCTTAATTTGTTAATGCTTGAAAGTATAATAAATAATTTTCCAACTTTCTAGGATAACTAAGTTTAAAAAAGATCAGAGACAGTTAAACACAAATTAATAAGAAAAGATACACGAGTGAGCATGCCATACTGGAAAATGCGCCATACTGTAAGATCTTCATTCCTTTCCATAATAGTTTCATTACTATTAACATGAGCAGAATTTGACTCATGAATCATCTCCAGTGCCTACAATTTACATGATAGCTGTTTTATCCTTCCTTTTATGACTTGTGTTGGGACATATAAAAGTAAAGCAGTAACAAAACAAAACAAAACTAAAAATAAAACTTTCTACACATAACTTCTACCATGGGAAACAAAAGTTCAAATCAATGATGAATGAGGTTTCAGATTGTTGATGAATTTCATTTAAACCTGTGCTGCGTGCACATCAGGTCTCAAACACTAGATAAATAGTACTTGATCTGAATGCCAAAACCACCATTTGCAGTGGATAACTTTCATACTGAAAATTTGTTTTCAATTTACAATCTTTCTTGTACTAAAGCAAACAGAGTACATAAACTTTAAAAGAATTCTCAAAAAGGCAGACTGTATCCTCTTTCTTTCAATCTAGATCACTCAAGGTCAGAATTTCACTGGGAATACAAAGACTGCCCAGATCAGAACACAGTATGGAAATTAAGACTATTCGGTTGAGGATCTGTATTTCCCAAATTAACAGCAAAATAATACATGGTAATAAGGTGCCAAAGGTGTACTGACCTATTCTACTAGTTATTAGGGAGCAAGTATTGTTTCAAACGCTTTAATAATTCATCTAATCTTCACAATAACCCTAGATAGGTACAATTTCCATCATTTCTGTGTTTACTATAGGCAAGCCTGGCAAGTTTGGTAATTTGTGTAAGGTCACTTTCCTAGTAAACGACAGAAGATTTAAATCCAAACCTTTTGGCCTCAAAATCTGTCCTCTTGATCACTATCATCCTACCTATGTAATGACCAACGGGAAAAAAAAAAACCTAAAGGACAACAACAAAAAACTAATCACCCTGGGGAAAAACTGCTAAATCTCAGGTAAATGGTATTTTTGTTTTGGTTTGGAACGGTGTTTTGTGTTTCTTTTTGTTTGGTTTTGAGTATCCAGGGACTTACTCTGCCTGGACTGGCCTCCAACTAAGGCAATTCTCTTGCCTCATCCTCTAAGTGCTAGTTTTACAGGTATGAGCCACCATGCCCAACTACATTAAGATTTTCAAACTATGAAAAGCATTTAACTATCAGAAGATTAAGTCTCACTCTCCATTTACAGATTCTCTTTGCTTAAATGTAATGTTCTCCTGGTCAATTGAAGGCCCAGGAAGATGATATACATTTGATACTAGAGGGTTAGGGCTTTAAGCAAGCAATATTAAAGCAGTATATGATAGTTTTGTTACAAATATTAAAATTCTTAGCTCTAATTAAGTATTCTTATGAAGGTGTGCTAAGGGTATAAATGTCTCTATTTACAATGTCTGAACCACCCTAAAAAGGAGGGTTATAAAAAAGAGCTCAAATAAACGTCATCCACTTATATGTGAAATGACACCCATTCACCAACATAATGGTATTCTAGGAACACAGTATTTAGTATGAACTAAAGATCAGTTTTAGAACTCTAAATGACTTTTCTTTTTAAAGCTGGAAGCACTTACACATACGTTTATTTTATTTAAACACCTTGCAAAGGATAACTGCCAAAATAAATTGCCCAATTTACAGAATGTAAAAAAAAAAAATTTTATGTGAACAATATCTGTAAGAAAAGGTACCATGTAATATATAGAAAATCACATTAAGAAAGAAAAAATATTTTATTCTATTATTACTTTCTGCATATTCCAATCTTTGATTACCTAGTCTGATCATTTTACAGTCAACCAAAATACTAACTACAAGGCAATCCAGCAACAGTCAGAAACAGGAAAATCTATTTGTACAGAAATTTCTACTTGAACAAATTAAACATTCAGAAAAACACAAAGATGATCTTGCCTACTAGGAAACTTCAGATTTTTAAACTTTTGAAGCACAACCTCTACAGTCTTTCTTATAACTCCCAACAGTTAGAATCGATGACCCCAAAATCTGAAAAGGGTATGCATCCTGTGATTATAAGCTAAAACTACCATGTTTCAAAAAAACTTAAATATTTACTTTCTGGCTTTCAGCCCATTCAATTATTTTAAAGAATGCTCTTGCCTCCACAACAACACACCCTACTGCAGTTAGGACTTTCAGGTGAGGCAGGAGGAGGACCAGAGACTAAACCTTCAGAGTGAGGAGGTCTTTAAAACCTAGTGTACTCCTTACTGTCTTCAGGACGCTTCATCCCTGATGGACCACCTGGACAACCCCTCCACGTTCACAGATACAGGGCATGCAGTACTATGTGCACACCAAATACAAAACCAGACACTTTATGGTATAAGACAGTGGGTACTGTATGTATCACATCCAGCACTGTGTGCTGTGTACATGGCATAAGTGAAAGGATATTGCATGAACACTGCACATGACACCAGGTATTATCTGTCCATTGTTTATGACAATGGGAACTGCCTGCACACTGCAAGTGAGACGGGGTATAGTGTACACACCTTACACAAAACAAAGTCCTGTGTGCACACCATATGTAACACTGAGTACTGCAAACTGCATACAATACCAAATACTAAGCACACACTGTTTCTGACACTGCATACTGCACACACAGATACTGTGCACACACTGCATAGGACACCAGATACTATGTATACATCTTCGGCGAACCGAATACTGTGTACACACCGCACAGGACACTGCATAGGGCGGGGACTGGTGTGTACACAGTACAGGACAGCCGGTAGTGGATGCACACTGCAAAGACCCCGAGTGCTGAACGCACACGGTACAGGACACTCGGTACCGCGGACACTGCAAAGGACAGCAAGCACCCCCTCGGCCTGGCTCTGGAAAAACGCATGAGGGAAACCTTGCAAGTGGAAGTTTGGTCTCGGCCCCTCCGGAGAGCTTCCTCGTCCCCCGCCGTGTCCACCGCAGCATCTCTCCGAAGCTCCGGGTTGGGGGTGCCGGCGGACCCCGCACCCCAGCCCCGGAGGCCCTGGTGGACCTGTTGAGGCAGCAGCGGCCTCGCCGCGCGGGTCGCCCACAGTCCCGGCGAGCCCGGCCGCCCCCTGTCGCCCGCACTCGCCGCGCCACCGAACGCACCCACCGCTCTCGGCTCGCCCGGCCCGCGATCCCGCCGACCCTGGCCGAGCAGGGGCCCGGGAGGCCTGGCCGGGCGGGCGGCGCTGAGCCCGGCGGGCGGCGCCACGCGACTTGCAGGCTTCCCGGCCGGCACAGGCCCCGCGAAGTGCTCCGGGCCTCCGCCCCGGGCCTCGTCCGCGGCCGCCCCGGGCGGGGGCGCCGACTCGCAGGCCCCAGACTCGGCGGGCCGCCCCAGCCCGCCCTGCCACCGCGAGCTCTCCCCACCATTATGCTCCGGCTCCGCCGCCGCCACAGCCGTCGCCGCCGCGCCCGGCCCTCCCCTCCGGGCCGCCTCCTTCCCGCCGCCCGGCGCCTCTCGGGCCTGAGCCGGCGACGGGCGAAGGGGGCGGGGGACGCTCGGGCCGCCTCCTCTTCTTCTCCTCCTCCTCCTCCTTCTCGCCCCCTCTCCTCCTCCTTCTCCTCCTTCCGCTGGCCTCCTCCCTGCCTCCTCCCGGCTCCCCCTCCGGTGCGCGCGAGGGCTGAGGACTCGGCGCTCGGGGGGCGCCATGTTGGTCTCCGCGGCGAGCGCGCCGGGCGCGGGATGCGGGGCGCGGGCCGAAGGATGCGGGCCCCGCCGCGCGTACTTACGGCGTCTTCTCGCCAAGCGGGGCGGCGGCGTCGGCAGCAGGACGGGGCCTGGCCTGCAGGGTCTGAGCCTGGCGGCTGGGCGCGGCTGGTGCGGGGCGGTGCGGGGCTGGGAAAGTTGGCTCCCCGCGAGGCGGCGCGGCGGCGCGCTCGGCCTCGGCCCTCTCAGGGGGGACCGCGCCAGCTTGGAGGAGGCCTGGGCCGCCACGCGCTCGGGGCTCAGGGCTCAGGCCACGGGCGGGGGCCTCGCGCAGCCTGCCGGCTCGCGTCCGCCTCCCGCCCAGGCCCGGAGCCCGCCGCACCCGCGCCTACCTTCCCTCGTCCAGTCTTCGGCGCCTAGCTTCGAAATTTGTTTCAGCATATTCTTATGTATCCACACATGAACTCCATATCAATACACACGTGAAAGCTACGTACGTGCAGGCGCGCCCGAGCCGAGAGCGGTGCACACGGAGAGCGGAGACACAAGGGTAGCAGCATTGTTAGGCTCGGGCCATGCCCGGTCCACGGGATGTGTGTGTGTGTGTGTGTGTGTGTGTGTGTGTGTGTGCGCGACAGAGAGACAGACGTGGACCTGTTCCACAGTGCGCGGGTCTGGAATTGGCAGAGCGCTGGAGAAACATTAATTCTTGCGTTCACGTAATTGGCGATATAGTTCTAATAGCACTGTGATCCTGTTGTCATAAAGAATTACAGGGGCAGCCTAAGTTCCTCATTTCATATGTGCAGAAATAGGACTTCATAAAGAACAGAACCATCCATTATTCATTTGGCAAAAATACTACAAATTTGTGTGAGAAATAGGTTATGTTATGGTGAGTGATTCTAAATCCAACCAGAGAAAATCCCTGAAGCTATATCATTTAAGCAAGTCTCAGGGGGAAAAAAAATAAGTCAGAAATATATACGCATACAGATTTCGTGTTGTATCCTCGATGATTTTTCTCTGCTGGGAATTTAGAAGGAAAGTTTATCAGCCAACATTTCTTACTTTCATTCTCATTCAGCATATGTGCTTGAAAAGCATTGGAAAGAACCTGACCCAGAAATTTGAGGTTTCTTACCCAATTTATCGATCTTTCATAGCTAGTCTGGAAAAGTTAAGAACTTAGAAATAGTCGTTGATATGCACCACTTAAACAATCCTTCAAACTGCTAACTGCCCTTCCATATGTATATATGTTCAAATATCTCAGCGCGTTTTTGTTACCTCCAAAAAATGACAAGATAATTTTAATTCACTTAAAGAATAAAATACATGAAAATTCAATAGAGGAGTTTCAAAGTGTCTGGAGAAAATCACACATTATCTGCTGGCCCAAGAATTCTAGCAGTCACTTTTTGAAATAAATCAGATTTTTTTAAAAACCTGTTACTTCATCTATAAAGCAGGACTGCACAGTTTTGTGTATTTCATAGAGGTCACTCAAGGGAGAATATCTATCTAAAAGGTAGCTTACCATTTAAGATACAGATGGTTGCATTATTCCACATAAAGTATGTTCTCCAATTATGTTTTGTAAGCATCATTTCAATTTTACACATAGATACCGTATCTCATTTTATCTAATGTAAGTTAAGTAACTTATGCTTGAACTTTTTTTTTTTTTTTTTTTCTTGTACCTGGGATGGAATTTAAAACCGCCCCTGCCAGGTAGGTGCTATGCCGCTGAGCTGTATCGCTGGCATGCCTATACTTTACGTTGATTTTGTGTAGAATATGATTGGCTTGGTTTTCCATTCATAATTTTATTTATCTCATTTGTACATCAGAGAGCATATAGGTGTCCATCAGAAAAAATAGGTGTGGCACTAATGACTGGAAATGGGAGGAGGCCAGGAGGACCAAAATAGTTATTTCATGCAATCAAAGACATACAGTGGTTTTTTTCTACCAAATTGTCAAGAAAGGACAAAATAAAGTTGGGAGAGAAAAAAGGACAAAGAGAAGAATTGTGGGCTTGCTTCAATCCAAATGTGTTTCTGAGACACCCTAAGGGAGGACCTGCCTATCACAATGCTCATAATTCTGCCTTAACCTCAGTCAGTATTCCCTATGCTTAATGATACTAGCTCAGCAAATCACTTTTTCCTACGCTCTGCTTTGAGAAATGCTATGTGAATAAAGAAGGCATGGACTGCCATCAGTTTGGGGTGGGAATTTTATTGCTTTAAAAAATAAATTATATATTTACACACTCCTTTTACAAAGTCAAAATGATGAATAATATATGAAAATCTTCTCAAAAGCTTAAAGAAAATATAGGTGAACATTTGTAAGATTGCAGATGACAAAACCCTATAGGAATGGGGTGGGGTTAATGTCCACAGGTGGAAAAGTAATTATAAATTTGGCTATATAAAACCTATAAATCCTGTATATCAAAACAAGTGTAGTCATACTTTAAAATATGCCATAAATAGTCCTTCTAAATGAAAAAAAAAAAACAAAAACAAACAGTTCTTATAACATTCTTCCCCCTACTGTCTTCTCATTAGCATCTACTGGTACTGTGTTTCTTAGGACTTAAATAGAGTTATATTCATTTCTGTGTATACTTGAAATCTCTTACTGAGTTCTCAGAGTGTTCGTGATTTGGTGACTGCTGGTATGTAGCAATAATAACTTGTGCACTAGTGCTGTTAAAATGCATGGTTGTTGTTTATTTTGCCTTTATTGTTAGGGATTTTATGTTTTTGTTTCACACTAAAACCTCCATTATACAAACATTGAGTATTATATGTATGCTTTGAGAATATAGTTTTCACTGTACATTATAACATAGCTACAAAAAAGTTTCATAATCACAGATGAGAACATTAAAGAAATGAGGGCTCAAAAAGTGTTATTTGCAGGTCTGATTACTAATGCAAACTAGTAAAATAAGTTGTTCCATTAAATGAGACAGTGTACATTAATGGGGATTCAGAAACACATAGCATTTTATCTAAAGTAATAGTAATTGTATTTTCAACTGAAAAGAGTGTTTTGTTTAGTAACAAGTGGACCATTTAAACTGGGGAATACTATGAAGGTAAAATTAAAAGACAAAGTTGGAGAGAATTTATGCAAGAAATAAGAACCAGGGCACTAGTCTTTAAAATTAAAAAGATATGTCACATCAATAGGATAATTAGCAACATCTCCCTTCTCTTAAAAAGAGAGAAAGCAAAGGCTCTGCATAATTTAGAAGAGAAGAAATAGAATTAGGCATGGTACATTGGGTGGCTGAGGCAGGAAGATCACAAGGTTGAGCTCAGCCTGGGCAATTTGGTTACTTCACAAGACCCTGTCTCAGATGAACCAAGAAAGAAGGGATAGGGATGTAGCACAGTGAGAAGGCCTTGGATTAAATTCCCAACAACAACCACACCAACATACACACAAATATGGAAACCATTAATAAATATACATTCAAATTCACAAGTAATAAAATGATGGAACAACATATTAGCACCTCTTCATATGACAGAATTAGTTTTTGATGATACACTCCTGAGGGTTAATGAAATGGACACCATTATATGCTATTGGTAGGGAAGTGAATTGGTATGAATTCCTATGCAATATCCAGAGGTTTATAACAACTATATTTTACTATACACCTTTCCTCTTGCCAAGTCCACCTGCATTTAAAAAGATCTACCTTCTGGAAGGTATCAACTGAAAGTAAGAGAACATCCAGACGAGTGATCATTTTGCTTCCTTACTTAAAATCCTTCAACGATTTGCTGCTGCATTTTGAATAAAATTCAGACTTACTTCTTGGCTCACAATGCTCTGCACCAGCTGGCCCCCACCTGCCACCTAACTCGAACTTCATTTCTGCTGACTGACCTTTGTTCCACGACAGGGCAGTGCTAGGTTTGTTCTCTCCTGGAATGTCTTCTCTTTCCCTACCCAATCTTCAGCTATCTGCTCAAATGTCACTTTTTACAAAAGGATCTTCCTACTGGGTACAGTGGTGCATCATATAATGCCAGCTACCAGGGAAGCTGAGGCAGGAAGTTTCTAAATTCAAGACCAATCTGAAAAATTTAGCAAGACTCCATTTTAAAATATAGAGAACCAGAGATTCATCTCAGTGATAAGAGTATAGTTGGGTTCCATTCCTAGTATCGCCAAAAGGGGAACCTTCCTTAACTCCAATTTAAATTAGGTCTTCTTTGTATTTTATTCCAAACACAAGACAATTTCTCAATTTATGTTTACCTTTCAGTTTATAGACAGGCAGATCTGTACCCTATGGAATACCCAGGTACCCAAAACTACTATTCAATGAAAAAGTGCAACAGGTAAAACTGATGATTTTATCTGAAAGAAAAGAAAATGAATTTAAGTTCTTTATTTCAAAATAACATAATCTCAATGGCTGTGTTATTTAGGTGTTGTAGTTTCTCTTAATACATATAAATTAAAACTATGTGCTAATTGAATCATGTTATACTTAGAATAACAGTTTAGGGATGTGGAGTAAAAGATCTTGTAATGCATGTCTCCCAATCCCCGAAACTTCCCATGGATGCATTTGTAGATAAATGGATGAATCGATGGATAGATACATAGATAGATGGAGGAAGAGGAAAAAGAAGGGGAAGAAGGAGAAGTGAAGGAAGAGGAAGAGGATCTGGGTTATATTTGGAAAATACTTTCTCTTATGCATTTGCATGTACACATTTCTAGTCAGCCTAAGACATCCAGATACCATGGAGAATATTATATGGTCATAACAAGATTGTATATAAAGAGAAAGATAGTGCTCAGATTTTAACATTCCAAGTAAAAGGGTTTAATCTGCAGCAAGCCAACAAGTTCTGAAGCATGGATTTGTTGAGAGTGTGAATCTGTTATTTTTTACCATTTTTAATTTATTTAGAAACAGATCTGGATTACTATAAAAATGAATTTTATCACCTAGGATGGAAAACAGGAAAAAATTAGGGAAAGAGAAGAAACTTAAAATGTATGCGGCCATTCCTTTAGTGGAATGTCTTGTGATCTCAACATGCTAGGAGGCAGAGGCAGGAAGATTGCAATTTTTGAGTCCAGGCTAGACCCTGTCTCAAAACATTTTTTTTTAAAGGGTTGGAGATACAGCTCAGTGAGAAGGCCCCATGTTCAATCCCAAGTACTGAAAAATGGTGTCTATTGTAACTATTTGGTACTTTCCCCAAATACGAGGTACTAAAAAAATAGTTGGGAGTCAAAGTGGGGACTGAAATAGTTAACGAATTGAAGAATGTTCATTATAGTGTTTTTGCTATATCATTTAAACCAAATGAAAACAACATAAAAATTTAGCAACAGAAACCATTAATTAAGAAAGAATATAAAAGTACATATGATTTCCATTTTGTTAAGCATTGGCAGGAAATACTGTGGAAAAGAATGTTAAGAATGCATATTTTTTCTGTTACAGATATCTTTTTTTTAAAAAAACATTTGTTCATAATAAAAAAGAATTATTTGGGATACTGACCT